AAGTTTGGCCAAAACCAAGCTGACGAGCAAAAAATTGGGGAGCATAAATTTCTACCCCCGCTTTAGCATTAGTCCCAGTTAAAATATCATGGAAAAGCTCCCTCCCGGTTAAAAACTGGATCCAAATGAGCAGGGAGGTGCTCGCGCTATCTATAGTAGAAGGGGGATGTACATAGTTTGGAGTCAAAAAAGGAGGAAAAGGAAAAAAGGAAGAGATTGAATCTAAAGAATAAAAGAAGGAAAAAATGTCCCTTCTGGACATATTTACAGGAGTTAAGGGCTCCATAGCTAACTCGTAACAGCTAGCAGAAGGACGAGAAATGGATGGAGCACCAAGCGATGGAAAATAGGATCTCAACCACAGTTGAGTGAACCAAAGAGGTCTACTGCCAGTGGGAGATGCACCATTCTTCAATTGAGCTTGAAGAAAAGCCATGCCTCTGTAAAGGGCAGCCAAAAACAAAGAACATAAATTCAAAGGCCTGCCACGCGCCAATTCGTGCGCTATAGGTAAATAACTCAGAGAAGGCTTTATACTTGGCACACACAAAACATATTTACAAAGCCAAACTAAAAGAAAGGCCACTCGCTCAGCATGTGTAGGCTCAGCGCTCAAATGATTGTGGAGGGTCTGCAGGCTTGAATAAGAATCGGTGTAGTTTTTGCCAAACTTTGGGGCGCCACCAGAAACTAAGATACCGAGGAAAATGGTATCGCCCAAAGGTGGCAGATTCACCAGGGCCCCAACATCCCTTAAGGTAATAGACATGGGGCCGAGGGGGAAGATAAAGGTGTTATACTCAGGGGACCAAAAACTCAAAGTAATCGGAAAGAGCGCCGAATCAAAAGTAGGGGGGCGAATAGAGACTTCCAACAAATCAGAAATCCTAGCGCTATCAAAAAGTGCCTTAGTAGGACCATGACCCACAAGACGAGCATGCCACCTACGAAAAGCTACATCAGATTTAGGCCAAGTGCGAATACCTCTTTCGCGAAGTGGCCCCAATGGTAAAGAGTTCAGGAATGGAGGACCCTGAGTGCAAGGAAACAGCTGACCTACCGCCGCTTGTTCAACTGCCTCTGCATTGTTGAAGAAAGGACCCAAGTAGAACTCATTACGTCCAACATCGGCAGGTGCAAGAAAATTTGGGGTTATGTATGGGCGACTCAGAAGTCTCTGAAAGTCGTCAAAACTGAAGGAATCGCTAGCTTGAGATTGTGAAGCAGCTATTGGAGAAGGAACGAAGCTTTTCAGGGTTACGTAGCAAGGAAGCAAAAGATGAATAGTTAATCGTGAAAGAGACGCAAAAAATACGAGGCGTGGTTTGGTAGCAGTGAAATGGCGTGTTTGGAGTTTATAAGGGTTTGCAAAACGACGCACCTCTTCAAGTTATAGAAGGAAACAATGATTGAAATTCTTGGGAATTTCGAACGTTGCTGGAAACACAAAGTGAATATGGCAAAATTCAATAATTATTATTAATTCTGCCATATTGGGGGGTAATTGTTGACACATAAAAATTCAGCCCAAGGAGTGAAGCCCAATTGGAGGATCCCCAAATCAGATAGCCCAAAGAACGAAGCCCAATCGAACAAATCAAGGAGAAGGCCCAAATAAGGAGGCCCAAGAATGCGGTAAGGCCATCGCCCAAGTTTGCAAGGCGCCCAGAATCTGAACGAATAGAGTGTCATACGGTCGCCCAGAGCTGTTACTCTATTTCTCGCCCAAACCTTCAAGTCGCCCAAAGTATCAACAAACATAACGCGTCGTGGTTATCAAGAAATGCAGTTATCAAAGCAGTTGTTAAAGCAGCCCTATCACGTTCCACGATTCAAGGAATTCAATCGAAAGCGGTTGAACGATAAAAGGTAATGACAGCAGTTAAAAGGCAGTTTTCATGACAAAATGGCCACTACGAAGAAAGTGGGTAGTTATAGGGCGATCAGGCAGTTTTTAGAGTAGTTAATCACAAAGGAATCGCCTATGAAGTATAAAAGGGAGAAAGGACATAAAAGCAAAGGACGAAACTCTCGAACTGAGAATATGTAATTTTCATTTCGTTAGCTTTTAGACTTAAACACTTTTCTTTTTATAACTCGTGTGCTTGCGCTCCTTGGAGGCACGTTGTTTTTCATTTTCAATTGTAAAGTTCATCGCCAATAAAAGAACACCCCTTTTTGGGACTTTGTCTCAAGAGATTTCGTCCCTTACACAATCGTCTGATCCTTTTTAATTGTTAGCGACTTAACCCGCGCGAAACACTACCTAACCCAGTTGTCGTATTGAGGTAAAGACTTAAAGAGACGATGCCAGCCTTGACTCTACAAATTGGTTCTACATATCATCATCCATGGCGATTCATGACACAACCCATCCCGAATCATCCTAGTGGACTCGAAACGTGACTGCGTCGATGATAGATGCTGACTAGATTCAAATCTATCACCAAAACTGACTATGAGTTATTTAAAAAAAAGTGCAACAAAACCAAATGCTTATATAAAATATAATGCGATGAGCCCAAAATATTTACTTCGTGCTTCATTAAAATGAGTTATAACACTCAACATATCATGTGGCTCTCATTCCGAAATCATTAGACTCTTCCAATTAAAAAGAATCAATTTCCACCTGTATGAAAAATTGTGGGAAAATATATGAGTTGATAACTCAGTGAGTGAAGCAGTTCAAAAATAATTATACTTTTTCAATTTTACATTTCTATCGAAAATGGAGTTCATATTATTTAATAATTCACAAGATAACATCATGTAATTATAACCAAAAATGAAATATTCACATAAGGTCATAAAATATCATCTCAAAATCATGATATAGAAATCAGCTGATAACCATGTTATAATCTCATCACATCAAACGTACTGAAAAATTCACAAAAAATGTACGCTCTGACTGAAATATATAATCCGCCCCTCGGGCTAAGAACTTTCGCTACGGGCCTTTGGCCCCTCCGTTAACGAAAGTCGGTCTCAAAGACCTCTCATAATCAATTCTAGAACACGATCAAGGCCCTTCTATGAACTATATGTACATGATCAAGACCAATGTCAGGTCAAGACCCTCCGTGTAGGATAGAACATTGCCAAGACCCCTCTGTGAATTAGAAGAAATATATAATCATGGGTACTTTTCTGGCTGATATCAATATTGCATATCTTACATACCAAACAAATCTCAATATCACATGTCTTATAAAGCAAGTCACAAACGTGCCATAAATAATCTTTGAGATTTCACATGTATCATACTAAAAGAGATTTCCATAATAACCATGTAATTCGAACACATAATTACACATACTTTGATAATATACTTAATTTGTAAATATTTTAAAAATATTTATATTTTTCCACTTACAATACTATGTTCGCAAAATCAACCCGATTGGTAAGCTGTTCTGATATCAGTACCGCCGCCTGAAATACGATATAATTTTTAAATAATTTCAATAATTAAATAGGCGATACTCAAATTTAATCATTTTACGTTTGAGCGATTTCTAAAGTCTCTTTAATCACTAAAACTAGTTTTTCTTTCATCTTACTCAATTTCATAGTTTATTATACTTAATCCCTTCAATAAAATTGAATTTAGTCTAACAATAAAACAACTATGAAATCAAATATAACTTAACAATAAGTAACTTTTTACTTACCTTTCAAAATTGAGGAATTCAAGCATAATAATATAGACCACTTGATTCCTAACACGTTGACAAAAATTTTCTATTTTTTTCTTCTTCTTCATATTCCTTTTTTTTTTCCTCTCTCTTCTCTTTCTCTTTTTCTCTTTCTTTTTAACTCGGCTTCTCTTGTGTGTATTAGTGTGTGTAATTGGATAGGTTTTCAACTTGGGTGGATTGATCGCCTCATTATTATAACTTTTTTTTGTTTTTAGTTCCTTTTTTTTTTTTTTACTTTTTGACTTTTCTTTAATTAAACTAATGTATTACATAACTCACCCCCTTAAAAGAATTTCGTCCTCGAAATTCAATTAATTAAGTACGAAAAAGTAGTGGATACTGAGAACGCATCTGCTCTTCACTCTCCCATGTCGCTTCTTCTGCAACATGATTTCTCCAACGAACTTTTAGTCCCAAAATTTAATCTTTCATATCATACTTTTAATAAGTTCCTAAACGAATATATGATATCCTCATTTGTTCTCTCTCTCTTTTTTGGGTTCCAAAACCTTAGGAAAACTCAAGTATTTTTCCAATTTGAAGTTTAAAATACTACTTTTCATGTTCTTCAAATCTTCACCTTACGTCCTAATTTAAACCATTCTCTAATCACATTCTTTTTCTATAACAATGGTTACATATTAAGATCGAACAACATTCTTTCGCCCATTTCGTCATACGTCCTTGGAATATTTCAACATTAAATATATAACCTCAAGTATCATCACTTGTGTCTTGGTTTTATATGTCAATTTCATGAGAATAAATAATTATCCAAGTCTCCTATAATCAACCAATCATAGTTGATTGCATCTCTTTTGAACTTATCTTCATAGTGTCTGACATTCCATTAAAAGAAGATACACAATGTAATTTAATCACATAACTTCTTATAACTAATCAAAGATAAATACTCCAATTCCACCATATAATTAAAAATATTGTCTATATATAATTTTATAAGTCTATCATATGAACTGACTATATCATTTAAAAAAATCTTGTAACCGTTATCAATCTATCCACAATTATTTTAAATACTATTTTGTCTCCATTCCGTGTATTTGGAATCCCCAAACAAAAATATTAGATGGTAATTATCTCCATTCTAAATTGACAATATCTCCAAAAATTCAATTGTTCATGATTTTCCAAAATTCTAGTTAACCCCAATAAAACAACTAAGATAGCTCAATATGGTGTTATTTTCCTTTAATTCTATATCACCCAATGATAATATTTACACAATTTCCATTTCCACCTTTTCGAATAGAATATACCTTAAAACTCTAATGATTAATAAGCATTGATATTTCTCTCAATGTGATAACATAATCCCAATATAACCAACTCCAAATCATGTTTTAATAATGCCTCTTCAACAATCTATCATATAATTCATAGTTCATCATTTTACTTCAGAACACTTTATAAACCTTAACATAATCCATTATCATAAATCATTATTGTGAATCAAGCATTCATCATCTTTGAATATAAGAGCAAATATTTCCTCAGAGTTTTCCAATGGCAAAACTTTTGACATTTCTATATCCATACAAAATTTGTTCTTTCTTCCTATAAAGAGAAAATAATAACATTTAATCCATGAAAATCTATACTCTTACTCCTTAAATAGGTCGTTGATCTATCATCAATGCATAATCCTTCTTATATATCGCATAAAGACCTTTAATTAAGATAATGTAACCTAAAGATACTATTTCACAATGAGTAAAGTCTATATTTGATGATCATCTTAAACTTTAAAAATATCCAAATCCAACATGTCCTACTTATATTCCTTAACAAATATATTTTGATGAAAATGGAATACTTTGTTCGCGATCCATACAATTGAAAATAGCCCAAAAATTATATCACTGAAATTTCAATAAATTCATTTTAACTTCAAAATTTAACTCAACACTTCCAAATTGTATGGAATGTAACACAATAATCCAACGAATGGCCTCAACAAAATCAATTAACTTAATAACCCAAATTTATCATCACATTATTTTGCTAGAGGACAACCATTATATTCATTTACATGCTATTCACCATATCATGTTATGATCATGTAACCTTGGCATTTATCGTCATATCGTATGACCTAAAATATTTAATTATGTCAATTTTCCTTAATATCACAAGATAATAACCTTCACATTTATCACGTAAACATTTAACACATCAATATACCGCATGTTAATTTCCCAATCTCAATAATTCTCAACTCTACCATTCTCTAATTTTATTTTATTTTTCACATAACATACTTAAATGCACATATCCATTTAATTCTATTTTTAAAGCAACAAATCACCTCATAATGGGTGATCATTTTGAAGTTCACCTCATAATGGGTGATCATTTTGAAGTTCATCCCTATTATTCTCACATTCCTTGTAATCAAACCACTCATAAATAATCAAAATAATTGGAATTATTATTAATTTCCTCAAGACTAAAATACACAACAACACATTGTCGTCTATCAATCAACAAATCATCATTTTATCTTCCACAATTTCTTGTCATATAGCATAAATATACACCATTATAATTTCTATTATCATCCCATATAAATGGCCACAAATCACAACAAAATTTTGATGACACTAAAGACCATTTGGATTCGAAAATAATTAAAATTCCTCACTGGTTATCACTAATCACACATTAGATCATTTCCCTCTATTTATCGTGCAAGCTATAACTAAAAATTTTCCTATGTACACATAAAAAAAATCATGTAGTTCTACAAATAAATTGATAATTAAGTGGTTGTAACATCTGTAACTTCAAATGCCCCTCAAAATCATCACAATCTGTTCAAATCTTACTAGGTTACATACACACATAATTCCAACCCAACAACTAATAGCATTTTCAACCATAATATCATTGCAACTACCATACTTACATACTAGTCTTTCCTATATCTGTTAAAATATATTTTTATCATTTTTGGTTCTATGCATTTGAGCTAGAGAGCCCGTGATTTCTATCACCACGACATGTGATCATATCCACTGAACATGCATGAACCATAAAAATTTTCAAAACCATGCTCTGATACCACTTTGACACGATCCGTCCTGAGTCACCCTAGTGGACTCGAAACGTGACGTGCACCGATGATAGATGCTGACTAGATGTCAAATCTATCACCAAGGCGGACTATGAGTTATTTAAAAAAAATGCAACAAAATCAAATGTTTATATAAAATATAATGTGATGGGCCCAAAATATTTACTTCGTGCTTCATCAAAATGAGTTATAACACTCAACATATCGTGTGGCTCTCATTCTGAAATCATTAGGCTCTTTTAGTTAAAAAGAATCAATTTCCACTTGTACGAAAAATTGTGGGAAAATATATGAGTTGATAATTCAGTGAGTGGAGCAATTCAAAAATAATTATACTTTTTCAATTTTACATTTCTATAAAAAATAGAGTTCATATCATTTAAAATTCACAAAATAACATCATGTAATTATAACCAAAAGTGAAATATTCACATAAGGTCATAAAATATCATCTCAAAATCATGATATAGAAATCAGCTGATAACCATGCTATAATCTCATCACATCAAACGTAAAGAAAATTCCACCAAAAATGTACCCTCTGACTGAAATATATAATCCGCCCCTCGAGCTAAGAACTTTCACCATGGGCCTTTGGCTCCTCCGTAAACGAAAGTCAGTCTCAAAGGCCTCTCATAATCAATTCTAAAACACGGTCAAGGCCACTCTGTGAACTATATGTACACGATCAAGACCAATATTAGGTTAAGACTCTCCGTATAGAATAGAACACGGCCAAAGCCTCTCTGTGAACTAGAAGAAGTATATAATCATGGATACTTTTCTGGCCGATCTCAATATTACATGTCTCATATATCAAACAAATCTCAATATCACATATCTTATATAGCAAGTCACAAACGTGCCATAAATAATCTTTGAGATTCCACATGTATCATACTAAAAGAGATTTCCATAATAATCATGTAATTCGAACACATAATTGCACATACTTTGATAATATACTTAATTCGTAAATATTTTAAAAATATTTTTATTTTTCCACTCACAGTACTATGTTCGCAAAATGAACCCGGTTGGTAAGCTGTTCTGATATCAGTATCATCGCCTGAAATACGATATAATTTTTAAATAATTTCAATAATTAAATAGGCGATACCCAAACTTAATCATTTTACGTTTGGGCGATTTCTAAAGTGTCTTTAATCACTAAAACTAGTTTTTCTTTTATCTTACTCAATTTCATAGTTTATTATGCTTAAACCCTTCAATAAAATTGAATTTAGTCTAACAATATAACAACTATAAAATCAAACATAATTTAACAATAAGTAACTTTTTACTTACCTTTCAAAATTAAGGAATTCAAGCCTAATAATGTAGACCACTTAATTCCTAACACTTTGACAAAAAATTTCTATTTTTTTCTTCTTCTTCTTCTTCCCCACTTTTTTTCCCTTTCTCTTTTCTCTCTTCTCTCTCTCTTTTTCTCTTTCTTTCTACCTCGGCTTCTGTTGTGTGTATTAGTGTGTGTTTGTGTGTGTAATTGGATAGGTTTTCAACTTGGGTGGATTGATATAAATCAATCCACCGCCTCATTATTTTTTTTCGTTTTTAGTTCCTTTTGTTTTTTTGTTTTTGTTTTTTTTTTTGACTTTTCTTTAATTAAACTAATGTATTACAATTCAAGAATAATAGGCAAATATTGTTTGCACAGGCAAGTCTTACTTGATTTACATATATAAATTACGAGTAGTGCTACTGCAGTAGTCATTATATGTAACATAGTATATCATTATTAAAAGTTATTCATTTTTTAAATTATTAAAATTATACCTATGATGACTATGAATAGCATTATTGATAAATTAGTATCCTATTTCTTGAATTTGTAAATTAATTAATGCATGATTGATGATCATACCAGAGTTTATGGTTTGCTTATGATGGCTTCTTGTGTAAAATTCTATGCATTGAAAATGTACATTTATACATGCTTATATATTATAAATGTTTTATCTGTGTAGAATTATAGGTGTGTGTTTCAGCAACATTATTTTGAAAGAATGTATTTTGTAATAGTAGATTGATAAAGAGTGCGTGGTTAAAAAATGGGTAGAAGTTTTGAATTTGCATGTAATATTATTTTATTAAAAAATATGTAATTGAAATGATGTCAAATCACTGTTTAAAAATGTATATATATATATATATATATATATATTTTTTTTTTTTGAAAGAATGTGGCTCAAACAAGGCATAAGTATGTCTTCATTCTTAATGAAACATACAAAATACATAGTAATTGGGTATGGGGGGAAAAATTAAGGTGATGAAAATTTGAAGAATTTAGCAAAAGAAACTATACTGACCCTCATTTCCAGCCTTAATCTGCAGCAAACACCTGGTATGAAAATCTGAAGCACATTTCCCTGCGAAATCAAGCGGCCACGAGACGAGACCAATTAAAATGCATAAAGCCCACAACTTCCAGCTCAAACTCGCACTAATGCCAAGAACATTTTCGGTCGCTGTCATGGCTGCCTGAGACATCAGAAAAAGAACAAATGCCACCCAAAACCAACGATTCTGATGAAGTCTCTCAAAAATATTATTCTTTTCAGGCTCTCTAGCGATGATTTTGTTGAATAATTGGCAGAGAAATAAGCTGTTGCAAATCATGGATTTGATGGCGTCTGCACTTATTCCTAGGACAGCACTTCCTTTGAGTAGAAGAATCGAACATATGGCAGTTTGATAAGAGACTTGTATTGCTATATTTCTCCACGTGGCATTGGTAATAAGACGTCCAGATGTTCTGATCGGAGGCATTTTCATCAGGTTTTCGGCCGGCGGCATGGTCAGCAGTGCCAAGCCTCCAAGAAGTGCAACAACCAAGTTCAACCAGAACAACTCCATTGCTGTCATGGGGGCATCCCCCAAAAATATAGTTGCAATGGAGTTAACCAATGAGCTCGAAATGATGTTTACGAGCTGGAATTGGATGAATTTTCGTATATTCTCGTAGGTACGTCTCCCACTCTTGATCCCATTGACCAGAAATGTGAAATCTGCATTCCAAATAATGAGATCCGAGCACTCCTTGGCCATTTCCGAGCTCCGAATCCCCATTGTCAGCCCTATATCAGCTTCTTTTAGTGCTGGAGCATCATTTGTTTGCAGCCCCAACACTGCTACCACTTCACCTTTTTCTTTCAAGAAATTCAGTAAAGTAACCTTATCCTGCGGGGTACAGCTTCCCAGAATGCGAATCGTACCCACCTTTTGCATTCTCTCTTCATTCGTTAAGTTCCTAAATTCGTCACCCGTTAGAGCATTCGATTCGGGAATATGCAGCTGACAATTGTTGATGGTAGTTCTAAGTACATCAACACGATCTAAAGCAGTAAAAATAGTCGTAACTCCTCCTCCATCCAAAGTCGAGACTGCATTTTTATATCATCCTTTTGTTTGTTTCTTAGGCCTGTTATTCCTATGAAGATCAAGTTATTTGCTTCAAGTGACATATCATCAGACCCATCTGTGGGTTTGCAAGCATATGCAAATACTGTAATGTAAGTATTATGCCCTAGGTCCAATCAATTTTGGATATAAATACTTTTGATATATATTTAATGCAATTTAATGACAGATCTATTATTTAATTAATAGACAATTAAATAAATAATAGAGTCCGTAGATTCAAATCTTCGTAATTTGTTAATCACAAAGAATTGTGATTGTGAGATACAAATTACATCTGATTGAATTTTAAATCATCCATGGTCGTAAGTAATAACGAGATATGGATATCGTTATTACGGATAGACCATCACGTGTGGCATTTCTTACTTATGAAGTGAGTAGCTAATCTCACAAGTTAAAGTGTGGTGACACTTAAATGAACACGTAGATGTTTTGTTATAGAACAAAATATTGGAGACCCACCGAGAGATTCCACATGGATAACTATCTGAGTGTCAGTGGCTAATCTCTAACGTTCGGTAGTGGAATTGGTCCTTTGACTTGAGGTCGTCATGGTACCTCATATGAGGACAGTCATACTTTGGCTTTGTTGGATGTTTCTCTGCAAAGGGTCACTAATACGATATCGTTCGGGGACGTCAAAAATCATATGAAGGTTGTGAGTGACCAATAAAGGATTCGTCACTCTTAGATAGTAGAAGATTATGATCTGTGTTTCATTCAATTAAGTCGATGATGAAATCCTTGGCCAAGGTGTACTCATAAGTCGAAAAGAAGTTTTCGACTTATATTGACTTAATAGTGGAGTGAAAGATATGATCGATAATCGAGATTGACACACTTCCATATCTCGTAATTGATCGGATCATATTGACGAAGAGATTATAGTTTCATGGTAAACGAACGAGTTTGATTTTGTCATACCACATGACATTTTCCGTCACATGTATTGCCTTGACACATTGCTAGATGTTAATTTGGGACGGCGAGTGTGAATTGACGATAAATTAAAAGGGTGTTTTAATTTATCAATTTTGATTAGATCAAAATAATATTTCACGTTATTAGACATCATGATCGGGAATTTGATGGGTCACACACAAAAGAAAATTGAAAGATTGCAATTTGTCAATTAATTAATTTAACAATCGTTGGATAAATTAATTAATTGGGTTGATTATTTATAGGCTCGAATTAATAAATTAGATTAATTAATTCACGGACCGAATTTAATTATATGGATTAATTAAATATTGGACCGGACCGAGCCAGGCCCATTTGGGTTTATATAAATACATGGCTAGGATTTTCAATCTATATGATTTTTCTCATGATTATTCTTGCTAGCACAAGAGGAGAAAACTCTGGTAGCTGCAATCTTGTTCTCTGTGCGGATCACCGTTGGAGGCTAGAATATTAGACAGCTGTGGGTGGCGAATCAAGATTGCTAGAATGAAAAGAAAAGCAACGTTGGAGGCTAGAATATTAGACAGCTGTGGGTGGCGAATCAAGATTGCTAGAATGAAAAGAAAAGCAAAAGGTTTGTAGAATTCTTCAAAGATACAATCTTTATCACGATTTTTTATCTAAACACAAAGGGATCTTCGGTGGGAATTGAAATAATTTTAATTTTTCGCTGCGCATATATAAGAAGATTCCCAACAGTGGTATCAGAGCCTCCTTTGTGTTTGCTAGAAATTGACTTGCGTGTTTATACAATCAAAAGTTGATTGTTGTTCCTTTTATGTTTCTAGCAATTGAAGAAAAATATGATTTTCTTAATTTTCTGAAATCTGGTTCTAAAAACATAATTAAAAAAATATATGGTTTGGATCTAAAAATCGGGCTGCTACCGGCGGGTGAAGCAGCAGCAGCAGTTTGTTCGCTGCTGTTGCTACTACGCCGCAACGCTTGCACTATCTTGGTCGGCGCTGTTTTGTCAGCGCCGGCCGCTTCTCGACTTGGTAGCCAACGGTGCCACCACCAAAGGAGAAAAGAGGGCGAATTTTAGGGTTTTTCTTCTGTAATTGGGTAATTGTTGGGGAGGGGGGCTCACACTGAAATTTTGAAATTTCGAGCCCTTGTGTGCAATTTTAACTCGAGTCAATGTGTAGTTTATTAAATAAAGGACCTTCTTGCAATTTGAGAACTTGATGGGGCCTTTTAATAAATTTTAATTGGGTCTAATTGCGAATTTCAAAATGGTTTTGAATTTCAATTTCAAAATTGTTTTAAAATTATATTCTAAATGGGTTTTGACCTATTCTTTTAATTTTGACATAAATTAAAATCTTATTTAGAAATTGACGACATTTTATATTTTCGTCAAAATTGGATTTTAACTTAAATATTAAATTTTGACCCCAATTGAATTTTATTTTATTTAGGAGTGTTATCCTAGTTTAAAATATTGATTCAATTTAAATTAGAGTTGGACTCTAATTTATGACTTAATTAAAATTCGTTTTAATTAATTTTTCACCCGAAGATATTTTAGAAATTAGAATTGGATTCTAATTTGACGTTTAATTAAAATTTGATTTTAATTAAATTGTTTTGCCCTAAACTTTTCTTTAGATTAGAATTAGACTCTAATTTGGCGTTTGATTAAAATTTAATTTTAATTAAACGGGTTGGCCCTAAAAATCTTAGATTTAGAGTTGGACTCTAATTCTGCAATTTAATTAAAATTTGATTTTAATTAAATTCAACCGCCTTAAGTTATGAAATTAGAGTTGGACTCTAATTTAATATTTAATTAAAATTTGATTTTAATTAAATAATCCCGCCTTATAATTGTGGAATTTGAGTTGGACTCCAATTCGATATTTAATTAAAATTTGATTTAAATTAAATATGCCCGCTAATTAAATAATTGACCAATATGATTAATTAATTATTTAATTGTCTCGATCCATTTGTCTGAAAGAGTTTAGACGATCTTAATTGCTAGAAACTTGAAACATGCTTGCATATAATATTAGATATTATATAAGAATACATTTATGTGATAAATGCATTAGTAGTGGATGATTTGGACTTGACCATATGGATGTGTTGAATGGTTGATTTTTATTCTTATTGTTTTGTGGGCCTGCGAGCCCATTATTATTATTATTATTATGAGCCTGCGAGCTCTTAATCATTTTGGACCTGTGAGTTCGTTAATATTATTGTTGCTATGGGCCTGCGAGTCCAATTTCATTTAGGTCTGCGTGCCAATTAGTATAGAATACATGTTGCAATTGGACTAATTGAAGAAACAAGAAGAGGAGAAGATCATGGAGATGTCGCATTGATACTGATCAGTGTAATACCCCCTAGGAATTGACCAACTAGTTTTCCTTATGACTCGAAAAGACTAGATAGTAAAGTCCATAATCGTCCACACTATATATATATATATATATATTTATTTATTTGCATGGTAGATGTATAATAAAATCTATATATATATTATTGTTTTGATGATACTTTTGAATGCAAAATCCCTTCACAATATTAGTATCTTTCTTTTGGTCATTGACCTTCTTAAAACAATTCTTAATGAAGTACCCAGTTTTTCCACAATAAAAGCACTTCTAGTTATTTGCCTTTCCTTTAAGAGGTTTCTCGTCTTTTCCTTTGGTGTTACTCCATTTTTTTTTTGACAAAATTTTTATCCTTGCTATAATTTGAATGACTATAGTTGCTCACACCTTTAGCATGTGTTCTTTGTTTTGGTGACACACCCTCCACATTATACACTTCTTTGTATTCAGATTTAAATTCCAGTTCTCTATTCAGAAGAGAACTGTGAATTATTTCAACAGTAAGGTCACTCCTATCATATTCCAGAGTATTTCTTATATCTTTGTATTTATCTCCTAAAGCATTAAGTAGACCAACTACCTTTTGCTCATCTGATATTTTCTCATCACAGTTTATTAAGTCTTAAGTGATCCTATTAAATCTGTCCATATTATCTTCTGTATCAAGATTAGGATCAAACTTAAAATTGAAAAACTGTCTCCAAAGAAAACATTTATTTGGTAAGGATTTAGTGAGGTATATTTTTCTAAGGCTGTCCACAATTCTATAGCTATTTTAGTTTCTCCTACTTTCCTAATCACGGAGTTAGATAGGTGCAGAAACATAGTGCTCCAGACCAGTTCATCTTGTTCCGTTTTCCTATTCTCAGACAAACCTTCTTGCCAAGATTCATCAATTGCCTTATCACATTTTAATTGCAGCATAAGTGCCTTAATCTTTTGACGCCAGAGACTAAAGTCTTCCTTGCCATCTCATATTTGAACATCTACTTTAGAGTTCATGGTGTGCAGTAGTGTGAACGAAAATGTATGTATACACAGATATATGAAATATCCAACAATATATCACAAAGATGTAATAAGAATCAATTATTCAACACACAGTATTTATTTGTACAAAAAAATATATACAAGATTGCCAGGGACACTAAAACTCAGGATCAGATTGCACTTACACACAGTAAGCTACCAGAAAGCATAAATGCAGTACATATACCTTCAGGTAGATCTGCCTCAGTCACTCAATATTTCAGCCCCTTTGAGAATAAACAAATTTGAGTGTCAGTATAGTCAGCAATGTATATAACAGTATATGTACAGTGAAGATGTTTTTGAAAATCTCAATTCCTCATATTAACAAAATATGTAATAACACAGATTTTAATAAAAACAAGGTTTCTTGAATCGAAGCCCTAGTCCCCTCAGATTCTAGGGTTCTCACAGGGACCCCTAGACAAAGGTAGATTTAGGGGAGATTCAATGAAACCCTAACCTTTAAAATCGGTTACCCCCAAAAATTTCAAAAATGCAATTAAATTTTTCAAAAACAATACTCAGTAAAAAACCAAAGGACCCAACCAATATTACAAGAACCACTTTGAAATTTTAAAGAATCGAAGGCTGAAAATAGTAGATTGACACAAATCTGAGTGTTCGAACCCAAAACGCAAAAAAAAAAAACGCAACACAAATCCGATTTTCTAAACGCTCTAATACCACTGTTATGCTTAGAAAATCATTTGCGCAATGTCACGTAAATCGAACACACAAATAGAAAATAATAAGATGAAGAAACACAAGATTTTTTGGCCCAAAGGCTCCGAGGTTCGGTGACCCAATCCAATGCCTACATCCCCGTTGAGCATCCGTTAGGAATAAGCTTAAATCCACTATGAACATCTCCAAATAGGCAAAACAATTTACAAGAACACACGGTTCCAGATTTCTCAAAACACCAGATGATCTTTTCACATCATAGTGAACTCATACAAGAGTTCATCTAAATTTCTATTTCTCTCAACAAAATCACACAAGATCTAAGAGGAAATAATCGAAGGCAGAGGAGATGAAAAATAAGAATTTCGAAGCTGCTCGAAAAACCATTTGAAACCCTAATGGCCCTTCACGTTCCTTTTATGTGAGAATGACAAATTTTGGTCATCCAACGGTCCATCACTTGCCACGAGTCTCGAATCTGGAAGAAGTGCCATTTTATAACAAAAACGCATTTCTGTTTTTCAGTTCAAAAATCGACTTCAACATTCTAGAGATTTCTTCATACTGGATCATCAATTGGGCCACCAAGTTTGGGCCACACAGATTATAGTCCGTTTGAATCAGCTGGGCCTCACACAAAGTTCAGCAAACCAATCTTTACATGAAGCATGACATTTTTGGTTGTGAATTGATGTGTGATAATACTTTGACTATATTTCACCATTTTGGCTTCTTTTCTCATCTAATTGACCCCTAGCGCTCTTAAATCTTTTCGTGAGGTTTGACACAACTTTTGAGTGTATGCACTTTTGTTCTCAAATTTTAAATCTCTTACAATTGAGTCATTTCCATCGTTTTTCTCCAATTCTGTTGTTTGAGTCGATTTGTACCTAACAAGCACAACACACTTATAATTAAGCCATAATTCATCTATAAATATATTACTATTTAAAAGCCTAAATAAGTGTACAAAATACATTTATCAAATAGTAGTAAGAAATGCTACAATATTTACTGGAGTTCAACTTTCGTGCCTTAAAGTAGAAGCAAATTCATTGAATTCCAGCATCATCTTCTATTGTCCATCTAGTGCTGGTGCGATGCCAACGAGATAATAGACTCCGAGGGTGGTGGTTTCTTTAGCAGTTGGGTGTTGGCAGATGGGTGGGGAGAATTTGATTGTGAAAGATGAATTTTTTCTAAGTTCTTTTTTCTTTTTATATGTTAATATGTATTCAATTTCTTATTGAAATTTATTTATCCTTTACTCCATTTATAATTTTTCCTTACTTATTTTTGTTCTACTTATTATTATTATTTATTTATTTAAAGAGAAGGACAAATACATCATTTAATGGTCAAAATGGAGGGAATGATAAATTTTGTGTTTAGAATTATAAACAACATTTCTTTTCCACCGAGAGTAATCAATTTGAAGAAAGAAAAATAAATACACAAGAACACTAAAAATTTATAGAGGTTCTTCTCAATGTGAGATTTCGTTCTCTCCTGTTACTCAATTATTCACTATGATGAAAAAGATTTACAAAAGAAAATCGTACTCCTATTTTCTCTAACCTCTACTTTTCTCTTTTTCACGATAATGATAAAGCCTAACATCAACTTCCTATTTATAAGATAAATTATGGAATAATCGATTTTCACAAGGACTCCAATTTCTTAATAGAATTTTACAAGAATACAAAATTTTAAATAGTTCTTAGATTATATTTTGGTCCAAGACACCCCTGGGTGTGGGGGGGGGGGGGCTCCGACTCCCAATTGATCTCACCATGGAAGTTGATCCGTGATCAACTCCAAGAAATGACAATAGTTAGGATCAGTAATTATTATGCTACACAACTTAATTTGCTACATAATAGAAATGTTGAAAATGAAGTATACTAAAAATGATTGAGGGTAGATTTATTACATTTAGGAGATTTATTATATTTTATGTAATTCAGAATTTTAATCAACTTTTTAACAACACATTTCATCAATTTTTATAAAAAATCTACTAAAAATATAATTTTAACCAAACCAAACAGGAACTTAATGCCAAAAATAATTAATTTCACAAACTATGAATACTCCTCTCCCCTTTTCAATCTAGCGTAATAGCGTTCACACCTTAGCCCTCGCCAAAACGTAGTGACAAGAAAAGACTCGGCAATTTCTTGCTCATTTCTTCTGGGTTTCTCTATTAGATATTCTAATTCAATCTTTACAATTATTTTAAAACAAAAACATCGCATAATGCTGAATATAAATATATAGAGTTCAATTCGATGTGATGAACCATTTTCAAATGCTATTTTTTAATCTCTCGCTTGTTGATTCATCCATATTTTCCTAATTCAGGAAGTGTGCACGTCATTTTTCGACTTCATATCTCTTCCATTATTAGGGTTCGATTGTTATCTTACATAATGACGTAGATGAAACATGAAAAATCGTAAAACAAATCAATCTGAAATAAATCTCCATGCCATCATTCAATATATCAAAACAATCCCAACTATACTAATTTTTATTACAGAATACTTACATTTTAGTTCTATCCTAGTCCACATCCCTTCTTGATTTTATTTAAACGTAATGAGATTTTTATTCTTATGGCACTAATGAGACACGTGGAGATGAACGTACGTAAAGTAGGCTTTCTTCTTCCTTAACGCGTAGATGAAACTGCCAATCAATGAAAAAATCAGCACTTTTTCACCAATCACATAATTGTTCTCTGTCCTTTTATATATTCTTTTAATAGACCAAAGGTATCACAACATAAAATTTAGGAAAAATTGCAGAAGCAGTTCTTAATTTTTTCATTTTTTTGTAGACTTTATCCTAACTTTGATTTTGTGCCAACGAAGATTCCTAACCTTTCATAAATATGCACCCGAAGTCCATCTGGACAGAAACCGTCCAAAACACCGTTTGTTGATCGAAAAAAATAAGGAATCAACATCCAATAAAAACATCCAAAAATATCATCCAAAAACACCATTTAAAAAGGTATTAACATCTAATAAAATCGTCACGACAGCAGATAGTTCAAGAAATTTTTCTGGTTAACTGAATTTGTTTTGGACGATTTTCATTCAGATGGACCTTAAGTGCATATTTATGAAGGTTAGAGACTTTCGTTGGCACAAAATGAAAGTTATGATAAAATCTACAAAAAATGAAAAGGTTAGGGATCGTTGTCGCAATTTTCCCTAAAATTTTTTATCCGCGTTTGGAATGTGTGTACTTTCACATTGGCAGTCACCTATTGACTTGACATGGAAAGAAATTTTTGCACTAGTTAGGTCTCATCAAACGAGTCAATTAATTCTCTAACCAAACATTTAATATTTTGACACGTATTAAACCGACACTAGTAAAATGGACTCTCGATTATATATATAGAAATCTAGGCATTTGGAACCCGTACTCTACTTCCCGAGTCTCCAAAGTAGGTATTCATACGCACGGGGTGTGTATTAGGGTACAAAATTCGGCACCAATGAACAAAGATATAAATAGAAAGGTATTAAAGATTACACAAATTACACTTTGGAAATAATTTAATTATAAATAAATAGAAACGGTTAGCGTATAAATGAATAATATTTGTGAATTACTTGAAATGTGAAGTTTGATCCTTCAAAAATTTTGCCCAATGGAGTCTGAATAATAAAAACAAGTTATAAATTGGAAAAGAATTTGTCCGTAGTACTCATGATTTTCTTTTAATGAACGTCTCCAATTCACAATTAATTAAATTGTTTAAACAAGAAAAAGTAAGTTTTATCAATTTGTAAGTTATTCCATCTGCGGGTTGGTGGAATGGAATCGTGCAAACGTCTAAAAATGGGCCAAAATAAAACTCAAAGAGGACAAACCGCGTACAAACTCTTATGCACAAACCGCGTACAAAAGGAAAAATTACCAATTTGGAAACGTGAAAGAGAAGCTAGGTATCAAATATGCAGTCCATGAACAAATTTATTTATTTTTTTATTTTTTTTCAAATTTTTTTTTTTGAAGTGCAAAATTTATCCTTAAAAAATCTATGTCAAACATGTTGGTGCTACCAAAAATCGCACTTGTTATTCACCGAGCTTGATGTACTTGATGATTTAGATTGACCATAAGTGAGATCTTCCAATACCTGAAACAAAGGTCTCAAGGTGTGTCCTCGTCATTCCTCTGATTCTTAAGTCAGAGAGAGAATTTATAAGTGAAACTATGAATTGAAAATAATGAAAAACGTACTTGAATAATGAGTCTCAATCATATATTTAATTATTTATAGATGTTGGCGGTAGAGTTGTAGAATGATTTAACCACCTGCAATCCTTATCTTTATTGTGTTAAAGTGTTTGTGTTATATTCAAAGTGTTCTATTCGAGTTTGGATTGGATTGTGATAAGTCAATAATAAAGATAAGGATTCTTAAAAGTTATAGTCGAAGTAGGATTTACATTTTCTAGAAGGTAGGGAGGAGACACTATATCAAGCGACATATGGCATGACCTCGACGTGGGCCCGACCTCAAAAGTGTGGGAATTACGAAGGAACAAGTTCGGGCCTTTTTTGTGCCATTACAGGCCCCCATGCATCCATGTCGCAGCTTAAGGCGCATGGTCGAGCTGCGAGCTGAGATGCAAAGAGGTGCAATAGCCTGAAGCCGTCCTTCATCCCTGGTGGTTTGACATGTGTCAGTCATGCGTTGGGTTGACAGGGCTCGACCTTAGATGATTGCCACGTGTCATGATTCAAGGGCCAAGATTAGAGGACCGTTGACATTCCAAAGGCCACTATAAATACCCCCACTTTTTACTCTCAACTCTCAGTAAATCAAGCTCGAGTTCGGGGATAGTGGATTTGTGAGCGACCAAGTTCAAGCTCTTAAGTTAATTACTTATTTGAATAGTATAGTGTCGAGTAGCAGTAGCACTAAAGGGTCGAGTGATAGTGGTAGTAGCCAGCCCTCTAGGAGCTTGAACAATAGTAATAACCTCGAGAAACTAGGTACATCGTTTATTCCTATAGTCATACCTGTCAGTTCACACCTCAAGGGTGAGGTAGTACTGACCTATCCAAAGGAGCCCTCTAAGTATAAGAAACATGTGAATAATTAGGATTAGTAATAATTAGGCTACACAACTTAATTTGCTACATAATAGTACTGTTGAAAATGAAGTATACTAAAAAAGATTGAGGGCAGATTTATTACATTCAAAAAATGTTGACAAGCAAAGTGCAAATTTCCTCAAATTTATAATTATCTTGATTTTTTGTAGTTACATTACATAGTCATCATTTTAAAACCTTGTGTCATATACCCTTTAGTTCTTATTTGGTCTCACTTTTTCAAAACTCATTTTCAATTACATATTTTATGTAATTCACAATTTTAATTAACTTTTCAACAACAAAATTTATCAACTTTTATCAAAGGTTACTAAAAATATAATTTTAAAGAACCAAACAGGAACTTAATGCCAAAAATAATTAATTTCACAAACTATGAATACTCTTCTCTCTCCCTTTCTTATTTCATTTTTCAAACTAGTGTTCACACCTTAGCCCTCGCGAAAACGTAGTGACAAGAAATGACTCGGCAATTTCTTGCTCACTTTTTTGGGTTTCTCTATTAGGTATTCTAATTCAATCTTCACAATTATTGTAAAACAATAACATTGCATAATACTGAATATAAATATATAGAGTTCAATTCAATGTGATGAACCATTTTCGAATCCTATTTTTTAATCTTTTGCTTGTTGATTCATTCATACTTTTCTAATTCAAGAAGTGTGCACGTCATTTTTCGGCGTCATATCTCTTCCGTTATTAGAGTAAGATTGTTATCTTACATAATGACGTAGATGAAACATGAAAAGTCGTAAAACAAATCGATCTAGAATAAATCTCCACACAATCATTCAATATATCAAAACAATCCTGACTACACTTATTTTTAGTGCGGAATACTAAAATTGTGTTTCTATAGTAGTCCACATCCCTTCTTCATTATATCTAAATGAAATGAGATTTTTATTTTTATGGCACCAATGAGAGATGTAGAGATGAACATACGTCAAGAACGCTTTCTTCTTCCTTAACGCGTAAATGGAACTGTCCATCAATGACAAAATCACCAACCACGTAATTGTTCTCTGTACTTTTATATAATCTTTTAATAGATCAAGGTATCACATCATAAAATTTATTATTTGCTTTTAGAATGTGCATCTCTTTCTCATTGGCCGTCACCTGTTGAGGGATAGAAATTTTTGGACTAGTTTGGTCAATTAATTCTAGAAACGAAACATTTTATTTTGTGGTTACATTACATAGTCATCATTTTATAACCTTGCGTTATGTACCTTTTAGTTTTTGTTTGGTCTCAATTTTTTAAACTCATTTTCAATCACATATTTTCCGTAATTCACAATTTTAATTAATTGCTCAACCACACATTTCATCAACTTTTATCAAAATCTATTAAAAATATATTTTTAACCAAACCGAACAGGAATTTAATGCCAAAATTAATTAATTTCACAAACTATGCATACTCTTCTCTCTCCCTTTCTTATTTCATTTTTCAAACTAGTGTTCACACCTTAGCCCTTGCCGTAGTGACAAAAAAAGACTCGGCAATTTCTTGCTCACTTCTTTTGGGTTTTTCTATTAGATATTCTAATTCAATGTTCACAATTATTTTAAAACAATAACATTGCATAATGGTGAATATAAATAAATAGAGGAAATTTCATTAGATGTCAAAATTTGGCTTTGCATTACAAAAAATGTCACCATTTAAATTTTCAAGCAGGGGCCTGCAAATTATGAGTTTGCACAACAGGCCCCCGTCTCCAACATCAAATCTGCTGTTGAAAACCTGGACAACTATTTTTTATTTATTTATTTTTTTTGTTACAATGTGGTGGAGGCAGCGGCCCTCGCTGTTGCAGCAGTACATCAGCGGCGAGGATATAGCAGCAACGAGGGCCGCTACAATTTAGCAGTGGCAAGCGGCCCTCGTCACTGCTGTGGGCGGCAACTGCGAACGCCGCTGCCTCTGTGGCAGATGCGGCGCTCGTTGCTGCGCTTCGCGCCGCCGACGGTCATTGCCGCAGCCGCCTTTACCTCTTTTTTTTTTCCCCAAAATTTATAATCTTTTAAAATCAAAACATATTTTTAAAATTTAAAATAAGGGTAAGTTGGACATTTTCCACAAAAAGCGACATTTTTGATAAAATTAGGTGCACATGCAATTTTTTTATGCATTACCAAAAAAAGTAACTTTTTTATAATTCCTCATATAAATAAAGAGTCAAATTCAATGTGATGAACCATTTTCGAATGCTATTTTTTAATCTTTTGCTTGTTGATTCATCCGTACTTTTCTAATTCAAGAAGTGTGCACGTTGTTTTTCGGCTTTATATCTCTTCCGTTATTAGAGTAAGACATAATGACCTAGATAAAACATGAAAAGTGTTAAAACAAATCGATCTGGAATAATCTCCACAAAATCATTCAATATATCAAAACAATCCCAACTATACTTATTTCTTGTACTAACGCCCCTTAGCATCCTTTCTCCCCGCGAATACTAACATTGTATTTCTATCGTAGTCCACATCCCTTCTTCATTATTGTTGGGGATCCTAGGGGTTCAATCAACAAAAACATCAATCAACAAACAAGATTCAAGGCAAAAACAAGAAAATATAAAACCGGAAGAATACAACCCCTTTATATGGCCGAAATCTGTCCAGCTTCTTCTTCTTCCTTGCAGCAGCTTCTTCACCTCTTATGGCAGATTTTACAGGCTCAGGAACAGCCCCATGCTATGCAAATCGACTTCCAAAGAGAGATAGAAAGAACCGGCAAAGAACCCCTTGAAAACCACCAACCAAGAGACCACCTTAAGGAACCAACAAAAATGGAGGAAATTTTCTGTCGAGCCACCCCAGAAAATGACCAGCCTACCTCCTTTTAAAATAACCCCCACCCAACCGAAGACACTCCTTCTTACACAAAAACGTGGGGTAAGTAGTATGTTAGGTGAAAATTTGGTCAAAGCTTCTCCCACAAGATTAAATCTCAATCATTGATTTTCATCCAATGGTTCACAAAAAACTGAATAAAGTGGGTTAAGAGAACCATATTCTCATATTCTTCACCTTGGTTCTCATAACACTTTCTCTTGGTTGCGAATTTGCACATGGAAGAACTGTTCATCATCATCGCCCACCACCTGCAAGAAAAATAACCAGTGTCAATGTGTAATAAAGATAAGCACAATCTAAATTTACTTGCAGGTAGAATTTTTGTTCCCATATCAGAGGGATTCCTATCAGTGTGAATTTTAACAAGATTAACTTCATCTTGAGACAGTTTCTCACGTATAAAATGATACTTTACCTCAATATGTTTAGTTCTTTCATGATAAACAGGATTTTTACAAAGCAATAAAGCACTTTGACTATCAGTAAACATAACAGATGTATCGTGCATGAAGTTCAATTCTTTTAAAATTCCTTTTAACCAAGTACATTCTTTAACCGCCTTAGTTATGGCAACATATTCTGCCTCAATACTTGACAAAGTAACTAAAGGCTGCAGCTGTGACTTCCATGTTATACAATTGTCACCTAGTGTAAAAAAGTACTCTATGGTAGACTTTCTGCTATCCTTGTCACCAGCAAAATCAGAGTCTACATACCCCTTTAGAGTAAGTTTTTCAGATCTCTTTTCATACACTAGACCCAAATTTAATGTACCAACAATGTACCTTAACAACCATTTCAGACCTGCCCAATGAGGCTTTCCTGGGTTTGACATAAATCTGCTCAAAAAACTTATAGTATAGGCTAAGTCAGGCCTGATTGTTATCATAGAAAACATGACGGAACCTATAGCATTAGCGTAGGGTATGTTCCTCATTTCTCTAAATTCCTCCTCAGTCTTTGGAGATTGTGCACCAGAAAGATTCATATGAGCTGCTAAGGGAACGTTCACAGATTTTGATCCATTCATACCAAATTTGGTTATGACTTTGTTTAGATAGGCTTCTTGGTAAATGACTAGTCTATTTTCAGCCCTATCTCTCTTTATAACCATCCCCAAAATCTTCTTAGCACTCCCCAAATCTTTCATATCAAATTCTGATTTTAAAAGGTTCTTCATCTTAGTGATTTCAGTCTTACCTGAACTTGCTAGAAGCATGTCATCTACATACAGCAACAAGTAGACCTCACAGCCCTCCTTACTATCATTATAGTACAGGCATGCACCATATTCACTCCTTTTAAAACCTATCTTCAGTACATAGGTATCGAACCTTATGTACCACTTTCTAGGGCTTTGTTTAAGCCCATACAGAGATCTTTCTAATTTGCACACACAGTTAGTTTTACCTTTCACCTCAAAACCTTGAGGCTGACTCATGTAAATATCCTCTTCCAATTCCCCATGTAGGAAAGCAGTCTTGACATCTAGTTGTTCCAGTTTCCAGTTGTACTGAACAACCAATGCAAGAACCAGTCTGATTGTTTTGTACTTTATCACAGGAGAGAATATCTCATTGTAATCAACCC